TACCTTTCATGTTTGTTAATTGGTTTACCATTTTGACTGTTTTTGTATTATATGTTAGTACTTTTTATTCGACAAGAACCTTCAAAGCTTTTCGACCGCATCATCAAGTTTTATGGCGTGGAAATTCCACAGGTTATTAATTTTCTATGCTATTTACAGTACCCTAGTTAATATCAACCCATTTGGATTAGACAATTATATTGACATATACGAGGGTCGATAACAACGGGGGTAGTTTTATATAGCCTGAGCCTACTTTTTTAATAAGCGGTTGATATTAATGAGGGTTGACTGTACTTATTTTTTTTTTTAATAATTTTTTGCACAATCATTGAACACATATAGCTTCTGTGAGTGTTGCGTGCGGGGACCATGAACCTTCATTCTTAGAATCAGTACAGATATATTTTGATAAAGTAATAATGAATTTTAAAATTCTTTAAAAAATGTCAAACTATCCTTGATTGATTGATCGGATCATTTATATACTTAGGCTGCTAAGCTCAGTGCCGTATCACCAAACACCATATCACATGTAAAAGCTCCAGATTGTATGCTTCAAGTTACATTTCCGATCGAGGTATTTAAGTTATTAAAACAATATTTCTATTTCTTAATATTTGATAATTATTATGCTATAATTTGTATCTTTTCAACGTTTGTATCATAAGGTTGATCATAGAGTTGAAATTATTACAGGTTATAGGGTTCATCATTCCCGTCATTTGCTTCCTGTCAAAGGTGGAATAAGGTGAATGATCATATTTTGATAGGTGACTAGCATAATTATATATGATAAATATTTATACTTTTCTCTAAATACAAAGATTTTCACCGGAAGTTGAAGAACAGGAAGTTACAGCATTGGCAGCATTAATGACTTATAAATGTGCTATTGTCGATGTCCCGGTAATTCTAATAATAATTAGAACTATTCTATTAAAATACATTTAATAACTAATATAAATTAATAAAAACATTACACTGTTGGATTAAAGTTTGGAGGCGCTAAAGGAGGCATTTCTATTGATCCAGACAAATATACTGCTGCGCAATTAGAGAGAATTACACGTAGATACACCGTCGAGCTATGTCAAAAGGTATCATGATAACTAAACTTTTTTATTCATAAATTATATTATTAATATAATCTGTTTATAACAAGGCGTTCATCGGTCCGGGTATAGACGTACCAGCACCAGATGTAGGCACAGGTGCCCGCGAAATGTCTTGGATAATGGATACTTATCGGCAATTTCATCCTAATGAGGTGGATTCTATTGGTTGTGTTACTGGAAAACCAATAACACTCGGTGGTGTTCGCGGAAGGAATGAAGCTACCGGACTGGGTGTTTATTATGGAATTCGTGAATTCATTTCGTATCCAGAAGTACAAAAACATACTGGGTTAAGTGGAAATGTTAAGGAT